GAACAAGTCCTTGAGCTCGTAGCCACCCGATTCATGTTACTGCGGTGAGTATGCTGGACACTCCATGAACTCGAGCCTACCCAATTAGCCTCTGAATACCTATCGTGTCATCTTCATTAGATTGATACAAGCGACGATTATACACCCCCAACCGAGCATCACCTGTCCACGTCACTCACATTCGTCATAATAAAGCAGCCACTCGGCTTCATCCAAGCTGTAGCGGTGCAAACTATGTATCAGACCTCCCATCCAGCAATAAAGCCTGCTTCAGCGGGGTCTCTTCAATCCATTTTAGCCACGATTCTGGCGGAAATGTATCGAACAACACACAATAGCAGAACAGACGTGCCGGTCTTAGTTGCAGCTTGGTACATGGCATTTCACAAGTCTTTCCAAGTGGTTCAGATATGGCTAGATGGCGAGGCGGAAATCGATAGGTCTGCTTCCGGTAGCCTGCCCAGGCTGAACCGTCCAAATGTCTCTACTAAGTGGTTCTACTCGCTGCGCCCGACTTTCTAAGCCTAGTGATTATTCATCCATACCTACATCAAGAAAGAGTGAAATAGCCATAGGTCAATAGCACGCCTTACAGCTTGACTTATTTCTTACCGTTGAACTTGTCGGATTATGAGCCGTGTGCGTAGAGGGCTGGTGAATAACTGCCTACCATAGGTATTGATATCAAAAATTTTAGATTAATGTACTTCGACCATCCTTGTTAATTCTAGTATGCAGGCGCGAAGAGCTACTTTGCATATCTAGTCTAAGTCTGGCCGGACCGAATTGTCGAAGCTGCCGAGGCTAATTTCAAAGTAAGTAAATGTCATCCTATGAGCCTCAGATGCTGCAATCAAGCAATGAAACATCCGTCCTTTTGAATTTCTGCGCTATCATACTATAAGCATCATTTAGAAGCAGAGAACTGACATCCTTGTTATGCATTGCTTGTAGTCCATTTGCCATACACGCCTATAAATGTCATGCTGGAAAATTGATTCCCTGATAGCCGTCCTGTGAGTCAGAGAAAGCTATTCGTGTTACATCGGACATGCATTCATCTTTGTCTAAGCACCGAGATGGTGTATTCCAGCCACTGGTTATCATTTTACGGTGGCCGCGTCATTATTCAACTTTTAATCCTGTCGAGGAGTCACAGAATCTAAAATGTTTCTAGGTCCTACCCATAGGAGCAGTGCCTTATTAACATTAAAGAAGTATTGCAGCTCTGAACATATAATAGATAACAAGTCGAATACCTTGCACAAGGCAACCTGGACAAGCCGAGTCTACTCGGCCCCTGGAATCACCTGGCATGACTTTCGAGTTTCTCACTGCAAATAGTAGTCTATTCAAAACCAGGTGTCATCTTCCATTGGCTTACAAGTTCAAAATATCGGAAGTTCTGGTATATGCATACACCATCTGCTATTCCAGACTTCCATTGTAACTACAGCCACGAAGATCATGAGTTGCTTGAATTCAGGAGGGGCGTTTTAAGTATTAGAATTTGACGGGCTCGATCACATTTATCACTGTATTAGGTTTGACTGGACTCAGAAGAGTAGAGGCGCAATCCTATGATTACATCGCCTGTGCCGGTGCTAGAAAGAGGAGCTCCGTACTTAGCAACAATACCATTTAAGGCAGTGAGCCCAGTGTCTTAAATTCAGCTATGGATATTCTTGGCTAGGCGTAAGCTCTTGCGCATAGCCCGTTGCGTTCAGGCCATGAGAACTATGGGTGCTCCACACCTATGTAGCAAAGCCGACTTCAAGTTAGTATCCCGCACTCGTGGCCTCATACTCCCGCTGCTGGGCACTTGCGGCTCAGATACTCGATAAATAATCTTTCTGCTTGACTTTATCTGCTCTTCTGTCTGATGGCTCATTCCCTGAGTGTTTCGAGGTGTCAATGGTGCTTAGGCGCAGATCCGATGCTGTGCGGTTGAATGAAACGGGTTTTTACTTTCTATTCTGCGACTCTATGCCATGTACGCATGACCTTAGTGTGCAGTGCCACCATTGTTGAGGCAGATGTTTGGGGCATCATATGCTCCAATCGACAGGTAAATACTGGAAATGGCGGTACAGGGAGAAGTTGTCCGGCAAACAAGCCCTCATATTGTAGTACAACAGCATGATATATATCCGGTGTTCTGAGTCCAACCACAAGCATTCTGCTTCACGTGATTTATTTGTGATTTATTATGTAATTGGTTAAGATAACATTATGCAAGGATTCTTCCCAAGGTCTGCTCTGCTGAGCCCTGTGTACTTCATGTACTCAATATTCCAAATCAGAGTAAAGTTCCATCAGGCACTTGAAACCGGTGCCACGAGCATTTGACCGAGTAGTCCGGTCTATAGATCTCTAGTATTTATTGCTTTAAGAAACATTATTGATTAATCGACTGTCTTGATGAAACAAAACTCCGTCATTACCGGTTCATCCACGTGTTTAAGCTGGAGCCGGTTGCGGGCTGTCACCTTTTCACCTGGAAATCAGCGACCCTGGCCACCCATAGATCCAAGTGGTTTGCACCCACCATCGACACACAAACAAGAGACAGATTCACCAGGGTGATTTCCATGCGGCCAACCTGTTTTGCTGGCTATGACGACGGGGTCAAGCCATAATGCAAAGGAGTGCCTGGCAAGTAGTCTTCTATGTATGACGAGGGGGACAACAATGTTGTTGTCTGATGCTGTCATGGAGGGGTTTTTGTTGGATTTGTGTGATAGGGGAGGGCAATGACATCATAGCGGGCGGGCCCATCCAGATTGGAACGGTTTCCTTTTCTCTCTTTTCAAAAGTACCGTGATTGACCACTTTTCAAGGTTATGTTCGGCGATAAACCGTCGCATCCCCGTCTGCCCCACAACCACGCTAAATTGCCTGCAGCGCCTGGATTCCGTCCATTTGCTGAAAATGCGCCATGCACAGGGTCTGCCAGTCCACCAAACCTACTAGGCCAGTAAAAGTACTTCCACTTTTCACTCTTGGCATGGAACAGGAACCTTTTGACTCTGGGGGAATGGACAAGTCTGCCGTAAGTTCGACAACTCAACCATCCATCACAGATGAGAATCTCCGGCTGGAGGTAACTTGGAAGTCTCAATGACCATGCTGGAAATCGCAACTGCCTATTTGTGACTGATAGGATCGGTGTAGGTTCTGCATCGCGCAACGGGGCCCAAGGATGGTCTTAACGCAGCTTTCTGTGAATGGAGCTAGTGGTTGATTTTGCTGTACACAAGAGTGCGGGCGCAGGGCTTAGTGGCGGTAACAATCCGGAAGAGCATTTGCGACCAGTTACGAGTATACCGTAGGCATCGGTTCGGCCTATGACGGAGGAGGCTGGAATGTTGAGAGACTGATGGTGGTCGCAGGAATGATCGCGCACCAAACTATTGGCCTCGCTTAAAAAACAGAGCGAGCCTTCAGCGGGCCCCTGCTTAGCTAGCTGGTCAAATGGAAGGGGAAATCCCCCTTGGGTTCTAGTAGCACGAATACGCTAGGAAAACGGCAATCGTCACACCATGAGAGCGCAGGTGATCTGTATGGCTGATTGATGTATCCATCCCCGGTGCTTGAGTGGATCTTGCTGGCAAGCATTGTTCATTCCCACTGCATGGACGGACTGCTCGGCAGGGCTAGTAGCAACAACAGTTCTCCAGGATAGACGGCGTTGCTTGTTCTTGGGGCACGTAGACATCTCCATGTGTAGTGTACTGAAGGTCTGTGGTCAGCACTTGCAGTGGATGAAACTATGGTTCGGGTGGTAGGAAGCCAATTCATACAAAATAATTCACCACCCGGGAGCCGTTGGCCAGTCCGTCTCCACGCAGGCTTGGTTGGTGTAGCTGTCTCTCCCCTTTCTCAATCGAACATTGAGCGTTCTCCATATTCAATCGTCCATTGAAAGCCCAGGGAGGGCCATCAACTCGGCTGACTCCGGAGAGCCCACAGTCAGGCCGTTAGCTTGAGCTACTCCCACCAACTACACTGTCTGATTGCTCATCTGTCAGCCTAATCCAGACTAGCCTTGCTCCGCTGGTGAAGGAAGGGACCCGCAAATTGTCTCGAGCCCTGAGGTGGGCACTGAAGGGCAAATGAAATCAAGGTCCACGGTGGCAGGACCTGTCCACCTAGTGTGTTTTGTGGGAGGCAAATGGGCGTCAGGAAGTGGGGATTTGGACTCGATATCCTTTATTTATGCTCATTTCACCGAAATCTCAGCGATAGACGGCGTGGTTGGTCCACCAAGACACATTACCTGGGTGAACTGAGTCTCCAGAGGCTCATGTTGCACTGTTCATGGTATTACCGCTGGTCGATCTGTATTGGCTTGGAAGGCTCGTGGGCTACCAGCCAACCAATCGAGCGGTAAATCGCAAGAATGATACCGTACAGTACTACCTCCTACATACATTGATCCTTTCCGATCGTGTCCATCAACGCTGCAAGAGTATGCGCACTGCCGGTGCAGAAGAACAAATGATCTTCGTAAATGCTCACAACTCCCTTGCATGTTTACTCCTTATTGCCTCGATGAACTTTCAGTAAGAACTCAGGATGACAGTGGTGCATCACGATTAAAAAGCCCGCTCTAGATCGCTCCGAACGATGCCATGACAAATACTCGCAGAATCCCTCGGCCAACCCCAAGCCAAAACACTCCACCCTCTTGCCTTAATGAGAACGGAAAAACGGAGAAAAGAAAAACCAAGATGAAAAGCAGAAAGGGAAAGAAAGAGCGGGAGGGAGGATTAAATAGAAGAGCATACATATAGTGACAACAATGAAAGAAAAAATAAAAAACAGCAATTACAGCATTGATCAGGTATCATATTCATGCCTCTTTCATGGCCATCGCTAATATGTTCAGAGATTGTTGGGGTCATTCCGAGAGGACCGAACCAACAGGCAGAAGGAGAGAAAAAGGAGAAAAATCAGATTCCTGGCAGGTCCGTAGTGTTGCCGATCTGGGCCATGAGGTTGAGAAAAACATTAACCTGGTATAATTCGTCCAAGCGACGACAAAGTTTGTCGACAAAGCAGCGCTCGATGGAGCCCCGCTCGAAGTTCTGGTATGCTACGATAATCGGGTATAGGATGCGATAAATGAAACAGCGGGGTCCCTTGGTGATATACGCCTCCAAGCTCCGGCAGATGTTGCAGGCCCATTGATACCGCTGGTGGCGAGGGGGTGGAGTTGGGTTGGCACCGGCGATGGTGATGCGTAGAGCCCAGTAGTAGCACATGACAGTGGTCAGCAGGAGGTCGGGGTATGTCAAGAGGGGGGGAGTGAACGTATGGCCGTTGTCCGGGTGACGACAGGCGAAATTGGGGAATGAAGCATCCAGTTTGTGTTCGGACTCAATGATGGATCCGTGGGGATAGCAGGTGATGTGGTGGTGATACCAGTCCTCCAGGCGACGGTCGAGGGTTTGAGCCCAGTCACTTGGGGAGCCATGCCCATTCAACAGTTCCTCGTAGTTGAGTCGTCCCGACGCCAGTTCCGCCCGGTATTTCTCCGTCTGAGAAAGGTAGCAGGGCACTTCCGCCCCAATGTCCAGCAGCTGGTGAAGGATATCTTTCGGTTTATGCGCCCATGGGACTTTCATCCAATCCGGGTGGACCAGAAACAAGGGGCGTCGGAGAAGAATTGAGCCAGCGATCTGCGTGTGTGTACATTGCCTCGATTAGTTCCACTCCCGCATAATGAACGAGTTCTTGGGGGAGGGGAGGGAGGTGATTCGCTCTCCTACCCAATAGATGCGATGGTCCAGAAAGATGGCGTGCGCAATGCCTGTTTGATGTTCTTCGGGTTTGCGCGACTGCAACAGCTGCGCGGCACCCAGCAAATGCTTCATCAATGCGCTACTATCACCAGTGAACACCTCGCGTATAATGAAGATGAAGGCGGCCACAAACACGTCCAAAGGCACCGGTTGACCACTACACCGCCGAAGCGCCCGGCGCATCATGCGAATCGCGTACATGTTGTGTCGATGGCCTGCCATCTCAATGTCTCGGTCGCCCCAGGTGCGCCCGATGAACATCAACGCCGTGTTCTCAAACGCGACCTGCAGGAGTTCTGATCGGCCCCGCATCTGGGATGCATCGCTCAAAATAAATCGTTTGAGCCCGGTCTCACGCTTGCTGAGTGGACAACAGTCTTCGATAAGGCGTTCGATGAAGATGTCCAGGACGGCTGCGCCTGGGGAACACTCCAGGGGGACCTTGACTCCGTCATCATCTTCGCCGTCGGCGTCGTCGGCGTCGTCGACGTCGTGTTTGCCATCGGGATCGTCGTCAGCGTGTCCAGCGGTGGAGTCTAGGAGACTGTGAGTTCAATGGCTCCAACTGCCCCCAACTGCCCCCAAACGACCCTCCTGCTTCAGGTCGGTAGTAGTCGTCACCTACCTTTTCCCTTTTCATCGTCTCGTAGCAGACCAGGGCCATGAGGGTCCTGGGACTGCTCGCGACGGGGTTCATGGGCGCGGTGTATCACCAGCTGCCGCACGGCTTCCAGATGGGCTAATCGCCGTTCCAAGGTCCGACATCGCTCTTCCAGCTGGGTGATGTACTCGGATTGACTGATGTAGTTCTGCTCCTCGGCGGATCGAGGGAATGTGCACTCGTCCGGGAGACCACGCAAACAGCATGATTTACACGGTAACACCCGGTTGCACTATGCGGCACGGGTCCTGATAAGCTCATGTTCGTGTTATCGAGAGAGGGACATGGCTGGCCGAGGCATTGCTTAAGGAGGTTCACCTTCACTTTTCGCTGGTGGCAAGGTAAACATGAATAGACTGGCCGTTGCTTGCGTTTGGCCTGCTGGGCGACCACCACCGGCTGGGGATCGTCCATGGTGGAGAGAGTCGGTTTGAGGTTTGGTCGGAAAGACGAAACAAGATTTGGGGAGAGTCAGTTAATAATAATCGTGGACGATGCCGTCATACGAACTATCGACAGCCATATTCGATATTTATGAGAGGGAAAAAGAAGAGAAAGAGAGGCGGGTTGATATGACCCGTAAGTCAATGGTGGAGGACAGTATAACTACGACAGGACAGGACACTATGGGGACTCCGTACTGTACGGAGTACCTCTGTGGGAGACGGCAGTAAAGTTAGTAGTGGTGACCAGGGTGAAGAAATACTGTACGGTCACTGCAGTGGGAACCTGAAGTCCTGGCGTAGCTAGGGTAAGGGCAAGCAATCAGTAAGGGTGTCTGGGTGGGGCTGGGGCTTGGGATTTTCGCACGTATCCCTCTTCAATAAATCGATCATTCAGTCATTCAATCGCTGCAAAATGACTAAGGCCTTTCCCTCCCCAGGTGCCTGGTGGCCACGTCATCCAGTGGCGACAAGTCGAGGATTATGATCGGTCGGAGGAGAGCGATCCATCCACCATCCACCATCCACCGATCCCCTTCGATCTGATCTCGCACGACGGCTCGGTAATTGGTGACCATTCCAAATCATCTGCGACCGCCGGGATTCGGTGGCCTTACCCGTCAGTTACACCCCGTATCAGGATACAGTTGTCGTACCCACCTACACAGAATGAGTACACAGTACACAGGACACAGTATGTGAGGTAGAATGTGTTCTTCCGGGGAATCTCTGGTTCTGGCTCTGGCTGCGCCCGCAAAATCACGGCCGAATGAGCCCGGTCGGCCGTTTCTCAACGGTCGCGGGCAAAACCATGGTTGAGTCTCGTCGCTTCAACGGCTTTGTCGCATTTCCACCCTCGTGGCTGTACAGTACAGGATGTACAGTATGTATGCTGTATGCATCACCATCATCGCCCTGTCTCGCAGGGGAGGAGAATCTAAAGTAAAGTAAATCGTGAGTACGGAGCAAGGACCGTCGATCTGCAGAGATTTGATGAACCCAACGTCCCGCATGGATCCGCTCTTAGGCGTGCACATACTCGTAGTATGTACGACGTACAGTACGCCGTACATACTCAGATGAAGGACGGAGTAAGGAAGGCGGAGTACGGAGTACCTTGGGGCCTCTTACCCCTTCAGGCGACATGCAGGATTACAATCACCGATGCCTCATGCTGCCTGAGAGGTGAGGCTGGCCAGATGTCACGTGGCTGTCACTACTGCGCCAAGTCTCCTGGCTGCCTGAGGCAATTCACTCTTCCGTGCTTCAAAGATCGACAAAGATGATGGGGGATGTCGCCAGCTCGTCTCCCCGTGGTACCCGCATGCTCACCCCATGCAATACTCTATACTGTGCTAGGTGCACTTTTGTCACACTTAATCAGTGCCCTTGATACGGGTCACCCGTCACCCGAATGCGAAAAGGCCCATGGCAGTAGTCGCGTCAGACCTGCAGGGTTGACGTGCTTGACACACAGAGGAATAAATTCCTCGTCTTTGCGCACCCTATCTCCCTTCCCAAGTTCAACCTTCAAATTCTTGCTGACGGGGCGGGCTCTCTGGGTCTGTCTGCTCGTTCACTGTGTTCGCCCGCCATGGCTCGGAACGAGAACGATGTCCGGGTGCTGATCGCAGGCGCCGGGATCGCCGGCCTTGCGGCTGCAATCTCCCTCACCCGCCAAACCTCCCTCGCGAACCTCACAGTGTCTTTGTATGAGCAGGCGGATGAACTGACGGAGATTGGAGCTAGCATTGCGCTCAGTCCCAATGTATGACCTTTTTTTTCTCAAGGATGTCAATCAATTGTCACCCAAGCTAACCTTCAATCGTTCGGTTAGGGCATGCGCACGTTAGAAAGGCTCGGGGTACACAATGCTCTCTCAGATGCAGTGGGATTCCGATCGCCGAGTGGCATTCCGCAGATTTTTCGGTAGGGGTGTGCGAGGATTGGAGACGTCGGGGGCAATGGCAATTCTGACGCAAACTCAATCGTTGGCAGGCACTGGAAGACCAACCAAGTTCATTCGGTCGATACACACAACGATGTGCCCGATCCTCGCCACGCCACCACCCGCTTCCATCGGGGCCATCTCCATACCGCACTTCTCGAGCACGTTCCTCGTGAGTCCATCTACTTGGGTAAAAAGACCGTTCGCGCCGAAGCCGACCACCAGGGCGTCTCGCTATACTTTGATGATGGCACGAGCGCCCACGGGGACATCCTGATCGGAGCGGATGGGCTAAGATCGGTGGGTTCAACCGGACACTGGGCTGTCATCCTGCGGTCGCAATCTAACAGGGTTGGTCAAATGCAGATCGTCCGACAATCATTCATCCCCCAATACAAGCTACGGTTCAGCGGAAAGGTCTTTATGCGATCCACATTTGACGCATCACTAGTAGAGGGGAAAGTCGCCGATCTCCCAGCTGATTCGATTCACTGGGTATGGACTTGACTAGACTAGCGTCGCAATCCAGATCAGCCAAGGCTAACTGAAAAGTCAGTGGGGACCCAAGGATAACTTCTTCGCATCTCGCCTCGGTAGGTGAGTTCTGCACAAGGCAAGCAGAGCCAGCTGGCTTACTCTCGTCCTCTGTAGGCAAACAACAATACACCACGGTTGGTGCGTACAGTGATCCACGCACCACGGAAGAGATCGAGAAAAGCGTTTCATGGAACGATGAAGGACATGTCGAGTTTCTCCGTGAAAGATACAAGGTATGCGGGTCAATTTTCATTGCTCAGTAGTGGCGCGGGTTTGACGACTGAAATTATGCTTCAGGACTGGAATCCGGTTGTCAAAGCTCTGACGGAGCTCACCCCCTATACTAAACTGTACCCGAACTTTATCGGAGACTCTCTTTCCAGCTGGGTCCTAGCCCCTCGAGTCACCTTGATCGGTGACGCTGCACATGCCCATGGCGGGGCTTTTGCAGCTGGCGGGTCCTTGGCCTTGGACGATGCTCTGACCCTCGGACTCGCCTTTGCGCATGCTCTCGACGGGCTGGATGCAGAGCAGTCTATTCCGGAAAGTAGTATCCAACTAGCACTGGAGCTGTATAGTAGAGCGAGACAGCCTCATACTGAGCGATTACTTCGCATTGTGCATGGTCAAGCTTCTGAAGGGCAGCTGGAAAATGGGGACAATGAGGAAGATGAAGAACAGCGGCTCCTACGCCGTCTCAGAAATCGGGTCAGTACGGTTTGGCTGGCAGAGCACGATGCAGAGACTGCCTTTGCAGCAACAGTTGCAAAGGTGGGGGAGGAGAAGATTGCTGAGAAGCAGTCCCGCGGAGTCAAGCTTTGAGGAGGATGGGATGAGAAGGAAGTCCCATGCTGTCCATTCAGCCTTTCACGAAGAAAATGAGGGTAAGTCAACTAGATAAATTTAAATTGGAACAGAGAATGCAATGACTTGGACTTGGAATAAACAGTAACACGGCATTCACTCAGTCTGCTGCCTCTTCCTTTGCCTTTAGGGCTCCGCCCTTCTCTCACCTTGTCTTTCTCTACTTTACACCGTCCCTCTCTCCCTCGATCCTTTTTCTCTTCCTTCCACCTGAATTCTTACATCCTTCTCAACAGCAGCCAACTCAGATCAGCCTTTCCTCCCCGATGGGAGTCACCAAGACTGCGACCGTAAGTGTTCTTTCATTGTCCGTCTCGAGGAACCGGTATAACCAGCGACTGACACGGCACCACCACCAGTTCGGCCTTGCGCCCGTGGCCATCGAACCGCTGGGAACCTTCTACCTGGCAGCTCTCACCGAGATCCAAGAAACCTACAACCGACTCCCTGCCATTGCTGAGCTGGACTTGAAATTCACTCCTATGTCCGTTCCCTCCGAGGCGGCCGATGGAAGCCTTGTCTTTCCATTCCTCGTGCGTCATGTCATGCCTTTGTATCCTGCTTGGTAGATGGTCTCATACTGATTCCCCGCTCTGAATAGCTCTCCACGACCGAACACACCACTCTCGACGAAAGGAAGTCGAGCTTTGCCAACGTAGTCATGCCTTGTCGACACAGACTTTGTTTGTCGGGATGAACGTGGAAGTCAAAGTGGTATTCAAGCTTTGAACCTGCTGAGATATACACTGGCAGTGATGGACTTCTCTTAATACAGCAGCCCTACGTCCAAGCGATACTTCAACGTCCCGAGGGAAGGTGCAAAATATACAAGAGGATTGATTGATGGATTGATTGAAATAAGATTGTGAAAGTAGTATTCGATATCATAAGTCCGACAGGTGAGATCATACGGGGGTGAGAGTAACCTGGGCAGACCAAATGGGACCACCACACGATCATCCTCATCACCATCGAGCTGAGGATCCTACGAATCCTCCAGACTGAGTTCATGAATCGCTTGACGGGTTCGCTTCTTCGCCGCCCGCTTGGCCCAAGCCTCGTCGTTCGACCAAGTGCCACAAGGTAGCACATTGCAGTGAGGAGGCCACAAGCGATCGACCTCCTTCTGCCACTCGTCCCCGACGATCAGCATCTGATCAGTCGCCCATGGCAGCGCCATCAACGCAAAGAATCGGAGTTCCTTGCAGATATGAGTCACGACCCGCTCTCTATCATCATCCGTATAGTCACAGATGGGGCAGTTCTCCGGGAAGGGATCGAGGGGAAATCGCCGCGCCGAGTCAATGTCACGCAGCGTCCACAGTTTCTCCGGGTCATGATACAGTCGAACATGATCGTACAACTGATCAATGGCAAACGGCTGCGGCTTCATAAGGCAGTGGTCCAACAAACACGTTGCACTACCAACGTCGCTTTCGACATGCTTCCACCACGCCTTCGGCTCCAGATATCGGGCCGGGAGTCTGCGGAAGCAACATGGACAGTCGAACTTGCCGGTGACCGGGTCGATGAGCTCCGCGCGGGGGGGTTGCTGGACTGCCTCAAGGACAGCGTTGGCCGCAGGGGGGGGCCGAAGTGGTGCCCCCGTGGCGACAGCCTCGCTCTTCTCTTCCTCCGTGTATATCCGGGCAGTCTCGGTCTGCACCCATAGAAACCGGTTGCGGCGCGTCAGGGAGTCGCGGATGAGTCGCCGTTGGACCTCAGTGAGCTCCGTCGGTTGGCCATCAGCGCTGACCTCGGGCTTACCCTGGCGTGCAAGAAGCCACCGAGTGATGTCCTGACGGAACTTGAGGTGGTTCTCCGGCACGAAGGCATGGTCGGTGTAGTACCATTGCCATTTTCCACTAGGCAGTTCCCGATCCATCTTATTTGTGTTTCTCCGGAGAGCAAAGTTGAGAGATTGTTTGGCGTGAGAGTGGGCTATCGCGAAAGACGGTGCAGTGGTGCGGGCCTTGGGATCTGACCTGAGCCGAGGGTATGCCGGATATTTATGGAGCTTTTATACGGCGGCATCTATCAGAGTAGGGACGTCAAACGCGTGCTGGAAGATAGCTTATAGAATACAAATGAGGGCACTGACTCATAATTCTTTCACAAAGGCTTGTGTGCAAAACAAAGAGCGCCAGACACGGCCGATTTATGTAGTTGATTCAGAGCAAGTGGTTGGGTATTGAAGAATACAAAGAGATGCCGGAAGTCACCAAATTAGAAACCCGAAGACAAACCAGCACGATGACAACAACTACCTGCTCTGCCATCAACCCTCATCCACTCACACGAGCAACCAGCTCGTCACGAATATTCTCGCCGAGCTTCAATAATAATGAGCAGCGAAGGATCGTCAGCACACTTCTATCCACGCCAAAATGCTGCCGAATCCAGTTACGCATCTCCATAACAACCAAAGAGTCAATTCCAAGGCTCGAGAATAAGTCTATTAGGGCAATGCCGTCTTTGCCTCTCATAAGAAAATCAGCCAAAGCCACTGCAATGGCATCAGTAATCTTCATCACCGCTGTCTCATCTTTAAGGAGAATTGGCTGTGTGGCGGCTGAAGCGAGGAATTCTCTTAGACTGTTTGGCTTGAATAACGCAGTTGTAGTTGTTTCACCATCCCGGTTAAGATTATAATAGATGCTGAAGCGAACATCGTTCTTCCATACGACCCGGTTGGCCCAAGAGGAGGCAGGCACAGCTGTGTTGAGGCCTAGGACGATCTGGCTTGGATTACTATATATCCTCATAGGGAGGCTAATTGCAACTGGGTGAGATCGCTGCACAGCCGATGTCATCGCCTCCAGGAACATATCTTCATTAAGTACAAAGGCTCCAGTATTCTGGAATTGCCTCAGTACGTTCGGGTTGCGAGACACAAAACCGACGTCGCCCATCACACCAAGGTCAATAACGGAGGCTGGGAGACCATAATAATAACAATACTGCACGAATGCATCCAGAAAGGTGTTGGCAGCAGCATAGTTTGCCTGGCCCCACTGCCCACAGATGCCACTGCATAATGAAATAAGAATAAAGAAGTCCATATCAGACGGGAGAGCATTATATAGGTTCCAGGTGCCTTTCACCTTGGGCTCCACAACATTTACCCAGTCAGAATATGTCATTTTCGTCAGGGAAACGTCCTGCACAGATGATACTTGCAATCAGCACCGAAACGGATTCAGCAGGAGAAGAATAAAGAAAACGCACCCTCAACACCATAGACATGTTTACGACGCCAGCAATCGGGGCGACTGCCTCCGTAACACACTTCTTGACATCCACGAGCTCGCAGACGCTACCAGCCACCAATTGGACCTGGCATCCTTGAGACTCCAGGTCCTGCATAAGTGAATCATTGTCAGCTGTATGTGATGCAGTCCGTGATAGAAAGATCAGGTTGCGTGCACCGTGTTCAACCATCCACGAAGCCACAGCTCGTCCCAGGCCACCAAGCCCGCCAACCAGCAGATAACTCCGCTCTTGTTGGAAGACCGGAATTGGTTTGACTCTCATAGTCACCAAAGCCATGGGATCGTCTGGCATTGTTATCACAATCTTGCCAATGTGGGTACCGGACTGCATGAAGCGGAAAGCCTCGTAGATATGCGCTGCCGGAACGATGTTCGAGATCGTATCGGGCGTTATCACTCCAGCCTCGATCCAGTCGACACAGCGTTTGAGAACTCTATCTGTCCGTCAGCGATATCGAATCGTGATTGGAGAGTAGGCAGGGCGACTGACTCGGTCACCATCCAGGGCCGGACACGCGATATTTCCTTCAGTTCAAGTCCAGCAAAGGTTCGATTCGCTTCGAAAAGCTCCATCGACAGCTTGGCCTTGCGACGGAAGTCACGGATGCCGATCTCGACCATGACACCGAACTCGGCGACACATGTCCACGAGGCGCAGAGAAGGTCACCGGCCAACGAATTGAGAACCACATCCACGCCTCGGCCGTTGGTAGCCTCCATCACGTCTCGGACAAACGATGGATTACGCCAATGGAAGCTGTGCGAGCGTGGGATGTCACAGTTTCGAACCAAATACTTGACCTTACTCTCCCCTCCCACTGTACAGTAGATCTAGGAAAATATCTGCCCCGACTGGTGCCTGAGCGATGAAACTTACCTCGGCGCCTATCATCTGGGCAACCTGGATAGCAGCTAGGCCAACTCCCCCACACGCAGAGTGAATGAGGACCGACTGGGAGAATGCATATTATTTACTATTCATGGGAGAGTTCCTACGCCCTGGGCTTGTAGGCTCACCTGTCCCCGTTGCAGATTTGCCTTTTCAACCAATGCCATGGCCGAGGTTGCATAGACGCAGGGCAAAGCAGCGGCTTGCTCGAATGACATAGATCTCTTTACCTTTACACAGCAGGATTCGTCCAGCGTCAAATAGGTGGTAAAGCATCCAGTCCCCATGTTTATAACGTGGTCCCCGACCGACACATGCCGTACGTCGGGCCCGATAGCATGTACAATTCCAGCTCCTTCCAAACCAAGCAAGCTGGTGCATTTGTCAAGAGCCCCGGACGCAATGAGCACATCCTGTCAACTGGTAAGCTAATTCTCAAACGACTGAGACGCGGAATGAGACCACGCGGAAGTTCAGGCCGACAGCCTTGGACTGAACGAGAACATCGCATCCCTTCAATTGCGCAGCCCGGCCATCGACCCATTTCATAGTTCGCAGGAGACCAGGAGTCCGAATGGAAAGGTGTTTGGTTAACGATCGTTCCGGAGAGCTATACTGTTCGAACGATTGTGCAATTGTCTGCCAATGCAGCCTTGGAATAACAATCTCGTTCTCAACGATGGCATATTCCCAGTCGGCGCTAACCGCGTCTATGGTGTTCGTCATGGCTACATGGCAGAATATTTTTGTGATGCAGTCAGCTGTGGTTCGTGAGGCATGCTTGTGATCAATTTCGACAGTATATAGCTTGATTGAGAGTTCATTCCGTGCAGTTCTGCCCAATCCTAGCATCATGGCAGCTCTGGGATCTGAACATCCCACCTGTGATGACCGCGTTACCCAGATCAAGTTACTCTTCAGTGTCTGTAACATCGACATCGTGGATCTAAACGTCCCTTCTGACATGACATGGATTGCTGGGTCCTCCAGGTCAACCAACGAGATGACATCCTGACCAGGCAGAGGTGGGTCCCCCCGGCACCAGATGTTCGACGCGGACGCCTCGGCATTGAAGGCTATCTCTTATCTGTTGAGCCCACGGTGCCCCAGTGTCACGGCAGAGCAAAGTTACTTGATGAGGCTCGGCACGGGCATTGGCGACCGACGCAATCATACAAGCGCTGAGATGATACGGAGGGATATTGTCCAGCATAGAAGCGTATGGTGTTTGATATCCTGCCTCCACGAGCTCTCTGGACCATCTGGCCGGCGATACATACGGCTGCTCAAGGCGATCATCATCTTGACTAATCCACCATCCCGGTAGAAAACCCTTGCGTCCAATTAATCAAGGGGTTGAGGAAGGAATACGCATCACGAACTTACCATGACGTAGCCTATGAGATTTGTCTCTTTGGATGCAAACATCAGTACAGGAAGAGATACAACTGGAACAGGGCAATCACCGACCAGGGCACAATTCCTGCAGTAGCAGTCGGCCTTCCGGCTTAAGAAGCATGCGGACATTGTGTAAAGACCTTTGCAAACTCGGCGTAGCATGCACGACCTTCTCCATTAGCCGAAATCCTGATGAAAAGTCGAAATTCCTTACATTGCTGGCGATAATCAAATCGTAGCTTCCAGGCTCCAAGCCTTGCTGCACCGGGTCCTGACTTATGTCCAACACGACGTATTCGATTCCCTGGTACTCGGCAAATCGCTCCTTAGCCGCCGTGAAAAAGCCAGGGGAGATGTCGGTACAAGTGTAAGTGCTGTAAAGGCGTTCTCCAAAAGATGAGCGTAGCGCTTTTGAATGTTGTGGTGCCGGTCCCAGAGCCAACTTCCAGCACCTGCATGCGTGGGTTTGTGTGACCGATGAGTTGAATTATTCCATTGTAGTGCCAAGCATCCGCAAGGTTATAGAACCTCTGGAGTAGGTTATCCTCTGATGAAAGATGCAACGCATGTTGTGCACCAGCAAACATTGCTGCGGATGCTTTGCACATCCGATCCACAGCGGTGCTTAACACAGCGTAAGGTGAACCATTTAGTTGGAGAATGATATCGTCAATCCTATCTTGTACACGGTCACCGCTCAAGTCGCAGAGTCGAAGGTCCTGGGAAACTAGTTGATTCAAGCCAGTCTGGTACAATTCAAGCTGCGTCTCGATCCAAGCGACAAGCTTCTGTAGGTGACTCGGTAAATCATCCCTCCGAGTAGCTCGACTTCGCGTCTGAATCATGCACACAAGTACCAGCTCTTCCAACTAATGCCAGTCTTCCGTGCGCTGTCTTGCAGTGTGCAGGTAGTCTCGCAATTCAGTGAGATCATCGTGGGGTTTCCACTCGAGTTGCGCGCTCAGCGGGATGTCCACTGTGGACTCGTCTCGTTTGCTCAAGGCTGAAACTTTGAGGACCTTCAGACTCAGAGAAGTCTGACCGGCTCTCTGTGCTACAATATCTGCAACGTAGGAGCCTCTCTTCTCGGCTCGGACCTCGGCTGTGATGTTGAGGCTATCCGTCGTTGGCGAAATAACTACCTCTTCAATGAAAGTGGGAACGCCAACATGACGATACCTGCGGGATATACCGCGGTGGGCTGCAACGATGGCAAGCTGGGAGCACTGGTCAATTCGAGCGGGATGCAAGGCATAGGTGTCTGTGGTTCCTCCCTGCTCAGCTGGAATGACGGCGGCCGCTCGGTTCTCTGATGTAGCGGCCGAGATATCCTGCAGACCTTGGAACATCCCGCCATACCCAAATCCCACACGGCGGAGAACTTCATACCAGGCACCTGCATTGAGCTTCCGAGGAAAGCAAGGAGGTGACTCCGAGACTGCCAGGGAGACCGATGCGTTGACGCCGCGTCTGGCCTCTCCATAGCAGTTCCTGGTCCACGTGGTTCCATCGAAGGTACTGATAGCAAACCGACACCATGTCGTCTTCTCGGAGGGATCGAGATCCAGGGCGCTGAGAATGGTGATAAACTCGGTAGCGTGGTCTAAATGTAAGACAGCTGCAGAGGCGAGGGTGAGATTGCGGAGGCTGAAAGTCTGGTCCCCTTCCAACTGTCGCAAGGCTTCCCCGATCATTGCTATAAACCCAGCAGCAGGAAACACCGTCTGCCCTTCCATTTCATGACCCGCCAGCCATGGAACATTCTCAATGGCCAGAATGTTTCTCCAACAAGGCTCATTTCCCGTCTCGGCTACCCGAGCACCCAAGAGCTCATGCGGAGGGTGTTGACGGAATCGCCATTCGCGGGCGACACGTGGCTCATCCCAATGCAAGGAATCGGGCTGCCAGCAGTACTGGGGAAGGTCTGTCGCCAGCGTTCCGGGAGGACAGATCTGGTGGTAGTCCAGAGGAACGTTCTTTTGGAAAAGCCTTCCGGCGAGGTCGAGAAGACAGGGCTCACAGCTTTGCCGTCTGATCAACGTACTGAGATGGACGTCTGCCCGACCAAGCTCGCGGACTACATGGCCCATCGGGCCCTTCAGTGCAGGATGTGGTCCAATCTCTATAAATAAAAGGGGATCACTGTAGTCTCGTAGAAGTGATCCAAGGGAAGAATTGAACAAAACAGGGCTTTCCATGTTCCGACGCCAGTACGCCGAGCCCAGACAGCCGGCTCCAGTCAGTTTGTCCCCCTTGACGGCGGAATAGAAGGGTATCTTGGGTTCGCTACTATGAACGAGCTGCTGAATGTGCCGTTCATACTCCGGTCCAAGCTCATGCATATGATCTAGTCAGTTGTAGCATGGGTCCCAATCCCCATGGGTTGGAATCGAGAGACTCACGGGAATGGAATGCTTTCTGGACGCGCAACATACGCGCTAGAACGTCTGGCCGCTCCGCTTGGACTCGACCGACCACTTTCTCGACCTGAAGCGCATCGCCTGAGATAGTAACGCTTGACTGGCTATTTTCACAGGCAATGACCACCCCAGATTCCAACAGAAGACACATCTCTCCTCTGCCTAACCCGATCGCTGCCATCGAACCCTTGCGAGGGGATCTCTCGTTGCTAATGCCTCGAAAAGTCGCTGCCGCCATGGCGCCTTCGGCGGTGATCGCACCACAGGCGTAAGCAGTGGCCATTTCACCGGAGGAGTGGCCCAGCACTACCATGGGGACGACATTCCAGGAGTGCAATACATCAACCAGCCCATTTTGAACCGCGATCGTCAATGGGTGGCCCATCTCCGCTTGGTAGATGCGACTGACGTGCTCGGGCTTTCGCAACTCCTCTTCGATGTTCCACGATGGTGCCGAGGGCAGAGAGGCGAGAAAGCTATCCAACTGCCTGATCGTGTGGCGGAAGATTGCATTGGAATCGATGAGGCTCGCCCCCATTTCAGGCCACTGAGCTCCCTGTCCAGTGAACACCCAAGCAACGTTCGGCACGGGCCCGATGCGAATCACGCTGGAAAGTGAAGGTGGTGATGCTAGATTTAGCACGCCGTACGCCCGATACGAGTGATGCATGCGACGGTTGGCCAGGGTGTAAGCAACATCTTGGCTTGATGCCCTACTGCCTTTGATATAATTCTGGTGATTGTTGATAGATCGTTCAACAGCATCGCGACTCTGGGCAGAGAACAGTAAGAGACTCGTTTGGCTCTCTTCTCGCCTTCCCCCACCCACAGGGACCGGCAGAGGTTCAATTCCACATTGTTTGAGCGAATCAATAATAGCCTCGAAAGTGTCAGTCAAGTGCGAAACCGGGGTCATAGGCTCTTTCTGACAGAACCTACGTGAGCATTGACGCCTCCGATTCCAAATGAATTTATACTGATCCTTTCAGCACGATCCGCGGGCCACGGCTCGAGTTCAGTTGGTACGTGCAATCTGCCCTGTTCAAATGGAACTGGATGAAGGTTAGTCTATGGTCCATATCACACAATATCGAATACGCAGGCCTCACTGTCTGGATTCGGGTGGTTGAAATTGATGTTGGGGGGCACTTGACGATATTGGAGGGCAAGAACGGCCTTGATGAGACTCGTCAAGCCCGCTGCCCCCTCCGAGTGGCCGACATTGGGCTTCACCTGCATGCCAATGATCCGATCAGAGACAGTTCGTCAAAAAGACCCTGAATGACCCCGGAATCCCTATCGACATGATGATTACCCCCTTTTCACCAAAACAATTGGCTACCGCGGCGGCTTCACGTGGATCCCCAACCGGAGTACCAGTGCCGTGGCATTCGACGAGGGCCGTTTGCGAGATATCGTGGATTTGGCAGGCCTGGTATGTCTCACGTATCAACGCCTCTTGGGCAGTAGTACTCGGGATTGTCATTCCCTGGGTTCGACCATCAATTGACCCGGGTTCCCCGAATGATAGCCCGAATGTGATCACCATCCTGTATGGCCTGACTAGCCTTCTTGATATAGATGGCATTCAAGGCTTCCCCCCGAGCATAGCCGTCGGCTGCTGCATCAAAGGTTTTGCATGTCCCGGTTGGAGATAGGAGGTCCTGGTCACTCAATGCCAAAGTCATCGTCGGAGAGAATATTAGGCTTGTCCCGCACACTTGAGCACTCTCGCAGTCGCCAGCTTGGATTGCTTTGCAGGCGAGATCCAAGCAGACCAGCGAGGACGAGCATCCCGTTTTCACCGTCATGCCATCATTCGGTGTGCTAGCACTTACCAATCCCTAGCATAGAGCAACGCACCTTGGCCCATGCAGATCGAATTCATAGGAGACGCGATTGCTGAGCACAAAGTCGCCATAACCTGTGAACCGATATCCCCCCACATGGTGGGTCTCCTTTGCGTTGAGGTCAAGCCAGTCCTCGCCAAATACTCCCACATAGCAGCCGACCTTGCTGCCACGCCACGAGGTAGATCCAGCGTTCTCAAAGCATTCGTACACGACTTGGAGGAGTTGCCGTTGCGCCGGGTCCAGACGCCCAAGCTCTTTCTTGGAGGTGGTGAAGACGGTATTATCGAAATGTCGAATGTCGACCTGCTGAAGGAAATAGCCCTGTTTCGCACGCAGTGTTCCGGGCTTCCCGTCCGGATCATCAAAGGCATCACTGTTGTATCGATCTGGCGGCACCTCACAAAGACCACTTCTCTTATCCGCCATCAACCTCCAGAAGTCCTCCGCATTGCGCACCTTGCCGGGCAGTCGCATCGCCATGCCTACGATGGCAATCAAATCGCCTCCAGCCGATCTTGCTTCAATCTCTGCCTCATCTTTGGTTGGCCCCATAGTTCAAGCACAGGGAGGTCGCTGCGGAATGGCCGTTCGGGGTGGGTCAACTGCTGAAGAGAGGTCCTACGGTCTGGATGCTGCTATGTGCCTAGCTGAATTCAGAACAGAGAGTTCATTGTCGGAGAATTTAGAGCATGATCTAGATGCCTGGGATACCTGAGACCTCACATCCTGAGCTGGCCCACCCGGCCTATCTCGGGGTTCAATTAACTCCGTGGGGCGCACATGGTGTGACTCCACATATGGAGGTGACTAGGGGCGTCAGCTTGCTATGTGGCATCCCAGGCTCTGTTTCAAGATTGCTCATAATCAAACATCATATCGGGCAAAGAGTCATGATTTGTGGGCTAGACTAGCACAGTGTGCCTAAGAAGCAGGCACACAACCGCAGGCCGAGCGTACCGAGCCATTTGCGAGGAGATTGCAATCAAGCAGGCTCGTTCTACGTTGAAGCATGAAATGAGCAGCCATGCAGTGTGGCCCGACATCCCAACAGTCGCTGCATTGCTCCCTGTGCTTATACTATCGGGCTACTGCATATTTGGTAAGCAAAGGATCGGTGAGCAATCGATCCAAGCAACTCTCTTCCACCCCCACCAAGATCTCCATCCCGCCATCCGGCAGTACTGGAAGCACAACTTGAGCGCCGTTGATGCATCCAACGTGCGGCACGCGAACGGCCTCAATGCGATGGCCTAGTAAAGAGCCCCAGTCCAGCCCGTATAGTTTGAAGTTCAACCAGGAGGTCTGCACACAGTTATACCCAGGAACATCCAGGAAGGCGGTTGGGACCAATCGATCAACATCTTCGAGTCGGTCCACCAGAGCAACGACATCGTCCGTGAGTTGCTTGTCAGCTCGCATGATAGCCTTTCTGATCTGAATGGCTAGGTCGGCCAGGCTCAAGGTACTCAACATCTTGCGAATGGGAAGAATAACAGCAACGTACTCCAGGAAGGATCCTAGAGTGTCCGGGTGGATCGGGGGATCCGTTCGTTGGCGCCCATCGATAGCGACATTGAAAACAGAGACAGGATCACCCTCCAGTGTATCCAAGGGTGACTGGACTGCCATCACGGTTCGCCAGAGAAGTGCGGAGAGAGCGTCGTTGGTGGAGATTCATTTCTGGTCGGAGGGCTCGGTAGCATTGCCAGGCGATGCCTCGACCTTCAAGGCTGCAAGAGAGTCCGGGGAGAAGTAAAAGACCTGGCCACGATGGTTCAAGGAGGTCATCTTGGGTGGTGCCCCTGGTGGCGTTAAGTGAAGGAGGGTATATTCAGGATGGTTTTCCAGTTCGCCCGCATTGCGACCTGAGGGCTTGGTCACTTGCTCCCGGTCTTTCCAGACGGCGTCGAGAAGTTGAATTGGGGCCATAATTTCCAGCCCCTGTGCACGACGACATTCTTCCGCCCAAATCGCCGTCCACGTCGAAAATGAGTTACCATCTCCTGCCATATGTAAAATGCACCATGTGAGTACCAGTCCCCCGCGAATGAAGTTGGCCTGCACAAGAGAAACTGGCATTCCTTCACCGGCTGAGGGCCAGACCGATCGACGGCAGAATGTATCGGCATCGAAGGCAGCCACGGGGAAATATTGATGTTTCAAGTCGGCGTAGTCAGAGGCATAGGAGCCACGCAGGTCTTTAACGAGGATATGTTTTGCGTCGCGGGTGTCCAGCGTCTGAAATCTCATTAAGCCCTTTTGCTTCGTCTCAAGGTCGGGAACTGCCTCACACGCCACCACCGGGATCCGTTGTGTGAGAGCCTCGTACCCGGTCTTTAGGGCTCCAGCGACTTCATGCAAATCATAATCGTCTTGCAGCTGGAAAGGGAAGACGTAGCGCAAATATCCCTTAGGTCCGATGCGCTCTAAGGCCGTGAGCCTCAGGACTGGTTGTTGATTCCCGATTGACCCCATGGTTATCACTTCGGTCTGTCAGCAGAGCTCGAGGCAAGCCAGGTATGAAAAGGTCAGTATGGGGACAATGGCCGGATTATTAAACCTGTCGGCGGAGTGGCCCGATGCCAGCATTTTGGCCTGTGCCACACTCCGGCACACAAGTTCCTCTTCCATCCCAGGGGGGCAATTCAATATCAGCTATCTAAGGATTAGGGAGAGAGAAGTTTCCTGTTTCAATCCCTGTCGGTCCAGAAGTAGCGCCATGCCGGACAAGATCCAAGTAGTCTACTATTGTACTTCTTTCACTAAAAGATAGTGCTGATGGCCAGCCCCACCCGCAATGGCGAACCGTTGACCTTGCCACTTCAGTTGATGATGGACCTGACAGAAGCTCATTGTTAGCAACTGGCCATGGCAATGGCACAATGGCACAATGGCACAATGGCACAATGGCAC